ATCTAAAATAATTTTTTTAAACCACAGAGATTAAAAAGAACAGACTGTTTTTAGTTTGGAGAATGTGGCTCCAGTGAATTTCAATATTTATCATATAATTCTATATCAAAGTTTTAATGAGCATTAACTTTTGTGTCATCGCTTCTAGAAACAACAAGAAATATCACATCTCGGATTGCTGTTTCTAGCTGAATTTCCATCACAAGAGGCCACATAAATAAAAGTTGACTTCATAAAAAAATAATGACACCTTCCTTTCTGAGCTAAGATTTTAAACACCTGCAATCAGGGGGCAAAGCGCTGACCACTGAGGTCAGAGGCCTTGGGCATCTTCTGAGTTTCTCCCTCAGGATGTGCTGAGACAGCCTCTAAAGTAGGCAGGGTTTTTTTTTCCCCCCTAGTCCAGAGTAGGAAATTTTCGAGAAAATCCTCTTTCACAGTTCCTTTGGGAACACAAGAAGAAAAACTGCTAAGCTTCCATCCGAAATGTGAGGGATTTGGATTGAGTTTACGTAACAGCTTGCGGGAAATGTCACCGCTCCCTCTCTTCCCCGGAGATAGCAGGTACCGCCGTACAGAAAAGGTGGCCAGGACACGCGGAAGGCAGGGCTGTGACTGCTGCCCCTGACTGCAGTTCCCTGGCAGGGCGGAGAGGAAACGGGTGACACCTTCTGTCCCTTCAATGGCGTGGGGACAGGCTGCGTCACTCCCACAACACGAGCCACGCGGAGCAGTAATGTTACACCTCTTGTGTTGGCCTTGAAGGCCCCACGCTCCAAACATCTCTTGGGAGATGTCCTCCCGCTGCGTTCTGAGTGTGACCCTTCCCAGAAACCCCAGCAGATAACCCTGAAGTCACTGGTCATATGTGCTCTCCAGAGCTGCGATGTCACAGAAGTCTTTCATTCTTCAAATATATGCACACACAAGAACCTTCTAGAATCTTCTTCCAGCTCTGATCTCACATAACATCCAACATTCATCATCCAAACACTCCTTGCTTCTCTTTTCTGGGGGGATAAAAGCCCCTTGTGAACAGCTACCCTCGTGACCCGTGTTAAAACCACAAGTTTTCTCTTTAACCCCACCCCAGGAGGCAGAGCTGCCCGGCTCAGGTAACTCAGACTATTTCTGGATTTCAAGAGGAAAGTAAGGGCAAGTCACGGCAGCCGTGGGAACGTGTCCTGCCTTTTCACACGGAATTTAGAGAATGCTGTGAAATTCACACATCCAGGAAATAAAATCAGATGTGGTGGCGGTGCATGTGGGAATGAGGTTACGGATTTTGTCCGAAGTGGCTCTGTGACCTTTGTGACCACCGGCTCACGTATGGTTTAACTCAGGGCAAGCAGAATCCAAGAGGGCCCAGGGAACTCAGGTGGGAAACCCGGCATGTTTGTCTTCACAGCCTCAGACCGAAATTTAGTATTTCCTTCATTAACCGGTAGGCCACAAACCACAGTAGCTAAACACAGCTGGCAGGACAAATCATGGTATTCCTGCGTCATATTACAGCTGTAGACATAGCAGCTCGGTCCTGAAATACCATTTAGACTCATCATCACCTCAAAATCATGAGTCTGTGTACATATTAATTAATAAAGGACAGATCACAATTTATAAAAAGTCAGTTCAAGGTGGTTTTCCTTGTAATCCTGCATGATTTATTTTATGCATTTAAAAATATCACTCTACTAACAGTCTAGGTCTTTCCAGGCTTCTAAACAGGTTCATGGCACCAAAACAGTTAAGAATCCCTGAAATGATACACAAAGAAAGCATTTAACAATGCAAGAGTCACTTTCTGGAGTGAATCACTCCCTGCTGAAACAAACTTGACCTTGAAACCAGCACGGTCTTCATGCTGTAAAGAGATGATCCTGGTGAGAGTTGCTTTTGCTGCTTTTGCTAGAGGACCTGTAGCTGGATGAGCATCTCTGCTTTCATGGCACAGACTGCTTCCTTCAAACTCCATGGCAGACATTCTGCCCTAACACTGAATCGATTTCTTCTATTTTATAGTCCTGAAATCCAGTCCATCTCACAAGGGCACTGAACACAATCATCCTATGACTTTAAAAACAGAGAGACAGCACCAAGAAAAACTACTATCATAACTCCAGAGTTTATGTAAAAGAATAGGCGTCCAAGTGGGTCCATCAAACAGCAGTTTTAGATGGTAGTGCTGAACGGTCCAGCCCTCGTGCAAGTGAGATGTTACAGATCAATGGACATTCTTCTAGGCTGGCAGGAATACGGCCCCTGAGTTACTATAATTATGAGATCAATTAAATAAGGACAGGATATTTCATGAGTGGTGTCCTGAATATAAGCACAGTAGACTTTTGGAAAACCCTCTGAGGAGGCTCTGATTAAAAATAGGTACGTCAGGGGCCAGCAACTAAAATGAATTTCCACGCACAGAAAGCTCCTGAGAAATTACTGATAGAACCACAATTATCCACTTATCACTGCACTTAGGTACTACCTGAAATTCTCTCTGACAGGAGTAAAAAATAAATGGTAAATGCGAGAATTCTGAAGTTAACACGAAACAGAAAAAAGTCAAGGACAATATATTCTTGGATATAATTCACGTACTGTCCATCTATAGTATAGGAAGTTAAACTGGTTTCCTTCCACAGCTTAACACTGTGACATGTGCTATTCTAAAATGTGTCCTTGTTTTTCCCCTATGAAACTGGTAAGATTCTCAATCTGTAAGATTCAGAGACAAGGTTATAAATCTAGGCTTTCACTTTAGTAGCAGGGTTCTTTGAATTACAAGCCACAAAGCAATCCAGTTTGTTTGCAATGAAAGCAAACCCCAAATTACTAAGCTTGGAAAGGAAATGAATTACAATGATGCAAATAAAAAAATTTTTAGCATATTGTGCTTTAGGAATAGAGAGATAAAGATCTTTATTAGCCACAATTATCAAAATATTCGTCCAAGATCTGGGGCAAATTTTTTGTGGCCACATCTGTGTTGCAGCTAAAGTAGACATCGTACGGACGATATGCTCAGCTTTAGGGCTGTTACTTCCTTTTCTAGATAATTATTTCTATTTTTGAAAGACAGCTTACAGGACTGCTTAGCAAAAGGCCAACCACCGCCTTCTCTTCCCAGCTCAATTTGCTGAGGACACTAAAATGTGCACTTTTTTCCAAAAGCCACAAAGCAACTTCTCTCTCTCTCTCTCTCTCTCTCTCTCTCTCTCTCTCTCTCTCACACACACACACACACACACACACACACACACACACAGGTTCCGCTGCCTCGGCTCAGATTCCTTCCCTCTAAACAGGAAGCTATTGACAGTTTTCCCGGGTAGTCTCAGAACACCAAAGGCCTCCCTTGACAACAAAAATCCCAACTTTCAAAGTGCAACGTCCTTTCCCACCACTGCTAACTCTGAATCCTGCAAATAAGACAGAAACCAGATACCAAACCGATAGGGTGGATTCACAGTCAGCCAGCAACTGCAACAAGGGAAAGTTATTGGCAGGCTGGAGCTCCCAACCCACCGTGCCGGAGGGTCCCTGGAATTCTCCAGCACCTACAGGCTCGAGCTGCACAATCCGTGACTCTAGATAATGCCAGCCAGTGCGGAGCAAGAGAGGTGATTAGATTTTAACCCACTTCACAGAACACTAAGCCAAATTTCACCAAATTCCAGAGAAGGCATGAAATTCACGCTGCTTTACCTTCCTCGCAGGACAAAACAATAATTGCTCATGAAGATAAAGTTGGAGGAGATGAGAAGAGGGGAGAAGGCGGGGAGCCCCGGCCACGTCCTCAGGACGGCAGACAGAGCCCCCGGATTACCTCAGGCAGAGGAAGCTCAGGACTCAGCAGCCCATGCTCCGCAGACCCTGGGAAGCAGCAGCCGCTGCGGCAGCATCCGCCCGATTCTCACAGGCTCTGCCTGTGCGGCTCCACCACTGACTGCCTGTGGCTGACGTCAAAGTCCCTGTCACATGGCCAGATGAAAGCCAAGAGAGCATTGGTTGTCGTAGCAACCGCAGACCGGCTCTGAAATTATTTCAATAGGTCATCTGTCACTGTGGTGTGTGCTGCGTGTGTGTGTGTGTGTGTGTGTGCGTGCGTGTGTGTGTGTGTGTGTGTGTGTACACACTGCACAACCATCACAGACAGCCCCTGCAGCCTCAGCCCCAAAGTTGTGACTCAGTCATGCCTAAGACTCCTGTATCTTTCTTTGCAGTTCCTTGTAGAAAAATAATTGTTACTCTGAAGGTCCCACTGTTCTCACAATCACCAACATGAAGCCTCTGTCTCCTCCCCTCCCCTTCCCTCCCCTCCCCTCCTCTCCTCTCCTCCTCTTCCTTCTCTTCTTCCTCTCTCTTTCTCCCTCTCTCTCCCTCTATCTTCCTCAACCCAGCACCAAAAGAAAGAAAAAGAAACAATTCTGCAGGTCGTTATCTTGAAAAACAGAAGCCCAAGGGAAGTTAGAAGAAAGGATATTTTGGAAACTATGCCAAACCCACAGCAATGCTCTGAGAATGCAAGAGACGGAACAGAAACAGTCAAACGGCCAGACACGAGGCTGGCTGAGGAAGCAGGTCCCACGGATTCAGGACTGGAGTGCGGCAAGTCACCCACGCAAAAGGGAGGGCCAAAGCACTCTGCACAGGGCTCCGTTACAGCAGCCTCAGGATTAAACCCAAAGCCTCCCTCCTAGGTGCACAGCCCTTGCTGGGGTACACGTCCCAAGCTGGAGCAGCGGAGCATGCGGAAGTCCCCCAGGTCCCTGACTCCCGCCTCGCTCCTCCAGGACGGCTGCAGCTCACTCCTAACTGCACGCAGGCTTATGACCTAGTTATTGCTTCTTAATTAACAGGAAGCCAATTAAACAAAATTAAATGAACCCCACAGGAAGGTGCTCTGCAAACAGACATTTAGGAAATGTACACGGACTCAAAGGGCAAAGGAGACCAGGGCAGAGGAGAGGAGATCACGGTAGCCCACAGACCTTAACTGCCGGGGCGATCAGGGTTTCTATTCTGGTTTCTTGTTGGTGTATTTCTTGAAAGAGAAGCAGTGAGGCGCCACAGAATATCAACGCAACCCAAGCCAGCCCGGCAGGTTACACGTGTCTCTGAGAAAAAACGAAATTGCCTCGTTTGAGTCAGAACTGGCTCTTCAATGAAGAGACTAATTATCAAAGAGCTTAGCCACAGAGTTTTCCCTTTCTGTCTCCCTCCTCATCTTCCTTGACAGCGATCCAAGCCCCGATTAAGAGAAAGATAGATTTTCATTGGAAAATTTATTTTCCTGACACAATCAGCTACAGCACTGTGAACATCAAATGAAACACCATCAGGAATCCTCCCTTTTCAGATTAGAGCCCGGGGGAAGTTGCAGCGTCTCTCAACTGCCAGGAGCCGGCTCAGGTGCAGCTCTCAGCAGCAGCCACAATTCACAGATTTGCAGCTGGCTCCATTTCTAGTCCCGGGTTTCTGTTCAAAAGTACGCATCACGGTGACAATGGGAGGGAAAGGTGGGTGTCCAGGGCCCGAGCTTGTCGGCGCTGCCCCATTTCCCACCTCTGCCTCTGAGCGCTTGGCTGCCTGACCAGAAGTCCCCTCTGCATGCAGGGTTAGCAGCTGAGACTAAACTGCAGTGCCGCCTCCTGCCCGTAGGTGATGTCCTGAAAGGAGACATTCTCCTAAAATTCAAGACTTCAGACCAACTTGAAGGCAGGCAAAAGCGAACACATTTGCCCTGGAACCCGCTCTCGCTTTGACTACACGTATTCATCACACGTTAACCCACTCAGCGTAGTGACTTCCCAGGATCGGTGAGTGTGTGGAACCCCCATCCTACAGGACGCTTCCAAGCCGCGGTCACCTAGTGCCCTTGGCTACCTGGGTGAGGAAGCCGCCAGCCTCTGAAGGGTTGAATCCACCGTGCGATCTCCTTGGCGCCCAGTTTTCTACTGATTGGCTACTTAGGCCCAGTGTAGTGGAAAGTGTCACAGGACATGCGTGTGCATGACGTTGCAGTCGCAGCCCGGCCGACCGTGGGTCATTTCACTGTCTAAATGCTGCGTCATATTTTTAAGGTGAAAGTGTGTCACCAAATTCAAAAGTGTCCATTCAGAGATAGTCCCCGCCATGCTTTTAACTTGCTCTGAGAATGTCGGGGCTGCCTAGTATTAGTCTGACCACTTGGCCAGAAATAGGCGGTGAGGAGCAGCCTGCCCCGGGCTCCCGCTCCTGCAGAGCAGCTGGCTTGGGCCCTGAGCAGAGGGTGCTTTCTTGGGTGTTTCTGAGCAGAGATGCTGCTGTCTCAGCTCTCACATTAACGAGGAGGCCGTGGACTCATCACTTGGGGTGACGTGGTTTTAAAATCCGTCTTCTTACACTGGGTCCTGAGCAACTTGCTTAAGAGCTCCGAGCTGCCAGGCTTGTCTGCTAAGGCCGTTGTGAGGGGTATAAAGTTAGTGTCTTAGAAAGTGGACTCCCTGCCCCAGGCCACGTGGCTCATGCAGGTGCTGTTTCTTGGCTGCCCCCGACAGGTCCATGCAGACCTTCAGGAAGAGGGTGGAGTATTGCGCATCCCACAGCCCTGCGGTCCGTACACCCCAGATGTGCTGCCCAGCGGTGGTAAAAGATTCAATCCCTGGGAAATAAATTCTGAACAACAGGAAGAAATGATTCCTCTTTGTTTCTATCAGCAGATAAAAGGAGAGGTTCTCTTCACTCCACCTCCAAGCCCAGAAAAGGAGAAAAAAACCAAAACAGAATAAAATATGCTGAGTTATTACAAAATGGACAGGCAATGGATAGATCTAAGAAATTTCTCAAGGAAATCAAACTTCTTCTTACTAAGTCATAAGTATCATAATGAGTAAACTATGCTGATGTATGTTATGACTACAGCTATTGATCTTCGACAATCATTACGCTAACTGCCATTAATTGAACATATACTATACACAGAGCAATGTTCAAGTCTTGTCTGTCTGTAAGTCATTTACTGTAACAGTGCATGTTTCAAAGTAACTTGCCTGCCTTTGGTGTGGCAGGGCCAAGATGTACACCAGGAAGCCTCGCTCCATCACTGGACACGATTTACATCTAGGACATTTTATATTTACTGTATTTCCATTTAATATAATTCAATGGGTATCACTGACATTTAACATACTTTAAGAAAGAGCTGAATTATTTATGTTTTTATTTTACTCCTTAGATTATTTTTATTTTTAATTTCTTATTGGATAGAGAAGCTAACTTTTTTTTTCCTGCATCTGGGAACCCTAAAAATATTAATCCAGCTTTAGCCTAAGAAATAAAATGACAAGAAAACAATTGAGTGAGGAATACTTAAACCAAGAAGAATGGGCAAAGTAAAAAAGGTGAAAATGTCCTAAACACAACTATACCCAAATGATTATATTCCTGATGGAAGCGAATATTTAGATTGCACAATTGTGGGTAACTTTTGTTTCTCACTATGGCGCACTACACTATTCTCAAACCAATATTCTTACTGGTGTGATAACACCAGCTAGATCTTTTTTTTTTTTTTTTGGTACCTGGGATCAAACTCATGAACTTGCCCTTCCCAGGCAAACGCTTGAGCCACTGAGCAAATTTTTTTTAATGACAAAGGCAATCCTTTCAAGAACCCAAATCTCAGATAACAGGGAAGCATTTTGCGTGTTAGAATCTGTTTGGGTCGCTACAACAAAGTGCCGTTGACTGGGTAGCGGGTAAACAGCGGAACTTTATTTCCCACAGTTCTGCAGGCCAGGGAGGCGGATCCAGACTCCAGCAGACTCGGGGCTGTCAGCATCTGGTCCTGGTTCAGAGGGCGTCCAGCTGTGTCCTCCCGTGGCAGAAAGGGCAGGGTAGCACCTTAGGGCCTCTTTGATAAAGACACTTTTGCTGTCATAAAGGAAATAGATAACCAGGTGGAGCGTCTACATACAAAAAATAAAATGTGTGAAAAGGGACATATTAAAATAAAATAACTTAGAAAAACAACTGAAAGAAAGATCACATAACGATGAGGATGTCGGGCACTGAGGCATGGAGAACAGGCACAGGTAATATCTGAGGAGAATCGGCTGAGAAATTCCCAAAACTTACACAGCAAACAAAACAATAGTTTTAACACGCTCCATAGACCCCAAACAGGAACTGAAAAAAAATCCACACAAAGACACTTCACGATCATCAGGCTCAAAACTAGAGACCAGATCCTGAAAACAGCAAGACAAAAGCATCACACTGATTTTAAAGGAGAAACAAAACACTTTTCCACAAAACATTCATCCCAAAGGTAGTACCACAATAAACTTCGAAGGCATGAAGGAAAACAGATGCCACTTTAAAATTCCTTACACACATGGAAATGTCCTTTGAAAATGAAGAAATCAGACTGAAAAAAAAGGGACACAGTTTTAGAAACCCGTAAGGCTACAAAATTAATGTCTTTGGGATCCTAAAAGGAGAGGATAAAGAGTACAGTTCATTGAAGAAATAATGACTGAAATCTCCCCAAATTTTGTAAGAGTCAAAAACTAAGATTCGAAAAGAGGAACACATACCCAGCAGGATTAACCCCAAGAGATACATACACAGACACATCATAATTAAGCCTCTGAAAGCCACAGCCAAAGAAAAAGCCTTATAATAAAGACAGAGAGAAATGACACCTTATCTGTCGGGAAAATACTTTGATTAATAGGAGATTTCTCATTAAAAAAAAAAAAAAAGAAGGAAGTAACTCAATCCAGAATCCAAGATTCAGGAAAAATATTTTCCAGAAATGAAACAGAGATCACGATACTCTCAAATGGATGAAAACAAGCGTCTGTCACCAGCTGGCCTACACAGCATAACGGACAGCAGAGGATCTCCAAGAAGAAAAGAAATCATAAAAAGGAACGTTGGAACTAGGAGCAGACATGGTAAGAAATCATGGGCAAGCGCAGCGGATTTCTCCTCTTTAATTATGTAACTACACTTGGCACCTGGAGCACCAATGACAACGCTATCTGACGTGACTGTAATATACGTCCAGGGAACCGAAGACAATTACGTTACAAAGGGGCGGTGAGGGAAATGAAGGGGTACAGCTCCTGTATTCCCCTCCGTCTGCTAAAGTGATGACATGTGGTGAGTGCCGCCTGCATAGGTAACGCCCAGAGCCACAAGGCTCTTTTGGGAGAGACCCCCAACACGGAGCTGAATCAGACTGAGTCTGTTGGAAAGCCCAGAGCTCCTGGAGAACAAAACCCTGAAAAACCCAGAGAATAAACAGAAACAAATAAGAGAGCAATAAACAGCGAACTTAACCGTCACCTCAACAAGCACACTAAAGTGATCTGAATATGTCTCCTAAAGTCAGAGATGGCAGCTAGCATTTTAAAAATGACCCAGAAACACACCGTCGACGCACACTCATTGCAAATACCGTGCAATCTGGAGGCAGGTCAGAAGTGTTATTTTCAAAGAGGGGTAAAGAGTATGTCATGTGAGCATTGAGCAGGATAACTATATAAATGCCAATAAAGTACACACTTTTAAATGTCATTTGAATTATTAGAGAGAAGAGTATTACATAAGGATAGAAGCATCAGTATACCAAGGAGACGACAATTCTATATGTGCACAAAACGACACCACCACCAAATAACTGAACAAAAACGGAGAGAACTGAAAGGAGAAACAGATAAATCCACAGGTACAACGGGAGACCTCACACCGCTCAGTCATCGGTAGGAAATCAGCAAAGATACAAGGAACAGCGCCGTCCCCTAGCACTGGTGTGCGTGTACACACCCCATCAGTGTGAAACAGACCAGGAGGCCACGGCCTGAGCCGTGAACGTACCTCAACAAACTGGGTGCTCGGCCCTCGAGTGGGGTGGACCGCTGACTGGAGAAACCCAGGGTGACAGACTGCACGGGGTAGGACCCCACTCACACAGTGCTACGAGCTGGATTGGTCCCCGTGTGACCCCAAGGTCTCACCTTCTGGGAAGCTGGTCCTTGGCCTGGCAGTGTTGGGAAGTGGTGCGAGCCTTTGTGGAACATGGTTGAGTGTGACGTAAGAGGTCACTGAGGGTGCTGACCACAGGAGGAACTGATGTGGTCTCTGGTGGCCCTTGATAGCTCTCATGAGATGGTGGTTATAAGACAGCAAACCAGTCCCTCCTCAGCCCCTCAGCTCCCCGTCTCACCTGACCTCCCTGGCACCCACTCCCACCACCAGGATGCCATCCACCTGGGGTCCTCCCCAAGCCAAGCCACGGCTGGCAGCCTTGTCCCTGAACCTCCAGATTGGAGCCATATAAACTCCTCTTTTCCTTATAAGCTACGCAGACTCAAGGATTGCAGTACAGTCACAGAAAGTGGACTCCACGTAAATAGAACATTCTTGAAATGACAAGATGATAGAACTAACAACAACAAAAAAAGAGGTTTCTGGTTGCCAAGAGTTAAGAAAGGGAGAGAAAAGGCAGGAAAGTGTCACACTGTGAAGTACCCTTGAGGTGCGGGAGGTGCTCTGTATCTCAGGCTATCAGCTGGCATCCTGGGGCAGTCCTGGGGTCAACAGGAAGTGGCTTCCCGCTCTGCTGTGTCTTACAGCTGCATGTGAACCTACACTTATTTCAAGATGAAAATTTAATTAAAAAATTTAAATGAAGTTAATATAAAGCATTTTCTGTCAAAAACTGAGAATTCATTCCAGTAAAATTCTACTAAACTTCTAAAGAGATATTTGGGCAGACAAAAAAAAAAAAATGATTCCAGATAGAAACACAGATATAGAAAGGGCAAATATATAGATGTATCTTCCAACTTTACAAAATGAGAATGTCTTCAATATATAATATAAATATAGACTTAAAATTTAGCATAACAGCACAAAACTAAGAGAGGATGGATAGAATTCAACTGTTCTAAAATTGTTTTTATTTGTCTGTTTTTTGTTTTTCATACTGGGAATCAAACTCTTGCTTGCCAGGCAGGCACTGTGCCACCAAGCTATACGGCCCTAAAATTCTTATAACAGTACTATTAACTGTTTCTAATAAGGAACACTGTATGACAGGATCCTTACAGTGTGCTATGAAAGGATAACAAGAAGACATTGTTAATTAGCTAACAGACCAGGAAAATAACTGTGCAAATTACTTGAATTCCAAAAGAAGAAAGAAAGGAAGGAAAAGAAAAAGAAATCATAGTATAAATAGGAAAGAATAGTAATACTAAAGATTTAGCAAAAAAAAAAAAATTTTTTTTTTTGGTCTTTTTTGAGATGGGGTCAAGGCTGGCCTTGAGCTCACTTTGTAGCCCAGGCTGGTCTCAAACTCGTAAAGATCCTCCCACCTCAGCCTCCCGAATGTTGGGATTACAGGCGTGAGCCACCACACCCGGCTTAGTAAAAAATATTAATTATTATAATATATAAACAGGAAATAGTCCAGTAAAAAGATAATAAATATCAGGCTGATTAACAAGTAAATTTTCTTTTCACATAAGTGATATACCTTGAAAATGAGAGCACAGAAAATCTAAAAGTCAAAAGATGGAAAAGTATGTAGCACATAAACTTTATCAAGCCAAAGCTAGTATTGCAGTATTACTATGAAAAATAGAACTTGATAGTAATATAAGCAAAAAATACTGCAAGAGAAGTAAGTACCGCTTCTTAATTCTCTTTTCCAAATATGCATGGCCTTAATAAAAATTTCAAAATTATACTCTTGATTTAACATATTTTTCTCATTATCATATAAACCAAGCAGAAACAATGTAGAGATACAGGTTTTAAGGACAAAATTATCCAATCTGACCAAATTAACATGAGGAATGATGATCTGGACAATACCAAAATATACAATTTTCAAATAATCTTGTAAATGACCGAAGTCAGAGTACACTCCTTTAAAACACAGAAATAAAGCTAGGCATCGATACCAGGCACACAAAGAGAAATTCCCCAGTGGGAAATAAGTGAGGCTGGCTGGGTCACCGCTGGGTTAGGGAGACTCCCAGCCCCGCTGAGGCTTCTAACAAAATCCCCCAAGCCTCTCAGCCTCCTGGCCGCTGCTACACTGTTTAATGGAAAGGCACAGGTCGTTTGGAAGCGAGTTCCTGCCTTTGGAACAGGAACCGAGGAGCCCTGAAGACTTGTTTTCCAGAGAAACAAGTATAACGAAACAATTATTTCAAAAATTATATAAAGTCCTCAAAAATCCTCCGATAGGTAGACAGATAATGAAGAAACATCTCTTCAGTACAATCCATGAAACAGAAAGGACGCTGGACTCTGCTGTCCTGGAGCCACGTGTGACCGGCTCCCCCGAGCCCTGGCTCAGCCAGGTGGAAACCGCTCTGGGCTCTTGGAAAAGCTGCGGCCACTGTCTGGGCTCCTTTTCTCCCCAGTGCTCCAAGGACACGGTGTCTCACTCGGGGTGTTGAAAGCCACCAGCACCTCTCCTGCCGAGGGCTCCCATCCTTCATTCCCCAGCCACAAGGCAGAAGCTCTATCCAGGCACTGTAGGTAAATCCAGGACTCTAGTCCACAGCCGCTGCTCCGGGTCAGGAGCTGTCACCGTGGCCAGGTCCCCCGCACTCACTCAGACATGGGGCTCACAAGGAGAGCAGGAACACAGGAACACGGAAACCTGAAGACCTCCCCCAAGGAGACCAGTCTCTTTGAAACAGATGATAGGAAAGTTCAGGTCCAGGGGTGCTTCTGAAACAGTGGAGATTCTGGTAATAAATAACTGAGAAGAGACTGGAAATTATTCGAGAGAAAAGCGAACCTTAGACCAGCTAGAGCATCAGCGACAACTTCAAAAGAGTCACTCAAAGGGCCTTCCTAGAGCAAGCTTCAGAGAGTGGCTTCCAAACGTGCATTTAATGAACTTAACTGGGTCAGCCTGTGAAATGATTTATGTCCCAAAGAAATACTAGAGCAATCACCAAGAAATTAATAGAGGCCAACAGCTTCTTAACAAGGAAGGGAAAGAAGCAAATACTTCCACATGACAGTTTGAATCCACAAATAGCACGAATACCTGGAGAATAGAAATGGTGTGGAAATTGAGACAGAGATTAAGTCCTTTGTCTAAAGATTTTTTTAACCTATGAACAGGCTTGATTATCTCATTTTACAAACCAGGAGCAATAGCAAAGTAGAATAAGGACAAGGTGCTGATGAAAAGAAAAACAAAGATAAATAAATGACTTTACAAACTATAAAAAGCAGATGTAAAACTTCTCACACCATCACGGCCCGGGATCATGGAGCAAGAGCACCATCATGGCAGCAGTGGTTAGAGCAGCACCCTTTCCGCTCTGCATGGTTTTCATGGTGTTTCTGCCATTCTGGTCAATCTGCCTCTGAGTTAATAACAGTGTTTAATTTCTAAAAAGGCAGATAATCCATGATTTTAGCTCCTACATCAGGTAGTTTGAAAAAGAAGAGTGTAGGAAAAACTATGTAGAAGGAAGGAACAGTAAAGGAAGAAGAAATGAATCAAATGGAAACAATGTGCGATAGAGAAACCAAGCGGTTGTTGTTTGAACAAAATAGGATTAATAGGTCCTTAGATGAGTGATAGAAAGAAAGAAAGAAAGAAAGAAAGAAAGCAGTCTTAAATTATAAGTATCTGTAATTTTTAAAAGCCACATCATTTTGGATCCTACAGATGGGAAGAAATAACAGATTTCACGGGCTCTCAATAGCGCAGAAATGGTAGTGTCTCCACGACGAAACGGCAGGCCATCCCCACACGGGAACACTTTGTGAGCCCTTCTTTGTGATGCCCAGGTGTCCCCCTCCAGAAAACCCTGACACCACACCTCTGCTTTTCTCGTTAATGCTACAATAAGTGAATTGAGTCCTCTGTCCACACGGACAGAGCCCTAAAGAAGCAGTTACAGTATCTGGGGTGGTAAACTTTACTTTCTCTTTTGTCCACAGGAGTAGAGCCTGAAGCTTGGCTACAGCTGCCCCGAGTAAAGACCTTCTCCATCTTCTCTTGCTGCTGTGTGGATGAGTGAGTGTGTGCAGGGGACGGAAAGAGGCTCGCCACGTGGCACTGCCACAGCCTCCTTAGAAACAGGTGTGTGAACAAACCTGCCCGACTCTGCCCCTTTTCTTCTCCACTCTCTTACTTACCCCGCTGTCCAGAAGCCCAGAAGTGACAGCCATCCCCGCGGACCACGAAGCAGCAGGCTGATGGCCCCGGAGGGGGACCGTGGAGCTGGGCGTGGCAGCAGCCTGGGTCTCAGGATACTTCGTGGGAATCACACTGCTGTGTGTGGCTATGTTGCTTCTCCCTGGACTCTCACGTGAGCGTGGCGAGGGAAGGAGAGAGATCTACTTATTTAAGGCACAATCATACATCAAACTTCTTCCTAGATGCTAGCGTGACCCCCATCTCAGGTACTCGGAACTTTGTGCGGGTGAGGTGTCGCATGTTAAGTAATTTTATGGGAGTCTCAGAAATATTTAAGAAGAAACTAGACTCTAGTGTACTCGCACTGCAGAACAAATAATGGAAAACTGCTTTCCATTTCTAAGTAATTCAACTAACTAATATTTACTGATATTCATGAAAAGAGGCCTAAAAGTCTTCCTGGACACTAAGAGTCATGAGAACTGATGACGAAGAAAACAAAAGAGACGCCAAAGTCATGTAAGGAGTAAAAATGATTTCTCACTCTGCCTGCATTTTCACAGATGGAACGACAACGGTAAATTCTTCCTAGAGAAACAGAATTCCTCAGATGACTCAAATATCTCCAAAACTACGGTTTTTTGGTAAGAAAATGGCCTACAAGTCATCTGCTTGTGTTTAACTTTCTGTATTAGTCAGCTTCCTAATGCTGTGACAAAATACCCTAACATGCACAATTTATAAGGATAAGAAGTTTGTTTTGGCTTAGTTTCAGTGGGTTCAGGCCACAGACAAAGGCAGAAATGGCTTAAAACAAGGGCCTGGTAAAACATTACAACACAACACAACACAAAAACTGCTTACACCACGTGGCCAGGAGGGAGAGTCACTTCAAGGCCACACACACCTCCCCAGTATGTGACAGCCCACCATTTCTAACCAGGCCCAGCTGCCAACAGCACCGTCAGCTCTGAGCTCCGCAGTGAACCATCCCGTTGGTAAGAACAGCGGCCCACAATCCAATCGTCTTCCAAACACAGGAGCTTTTCCAGGAACTTTTAGATCTAAGCCGTAACGTTCTGGCCCCAGTCCACAAAAGGTTCCTGTGCCTCTTACTATACAAAATGCATTTAGTCCATCTCTAAAAGTAGCTGAAGTTTTAAGAGTTCCAGCAGGTTGGAAAGTCCAAGTTCAAACTCACCAGAGTCTCAAGACAAAGTCTTAGCTGTGAGAACCTGTAGGACTCCAAATGGGAGCTAAACACTTCCATCATGCAAAGGCATAGGGCAAACATTCCCAACCTAAAAGGAGGAATATGAGAAGAACGGAACCAAAGGGAACAGCAGCCCACAGGACAGACATTAAATCTTACTGCTCCGTGCCCAGCGCTTGTGTGGGCTGTGGTGACACGTGAGGTCCAAAAGGCCTGGGCAGTTCTCCCATAGGGCCTCGCCCATTCCAGCCCACATGGTTTTCTCTCAGACTGACACTTTTTACTGCCTGCAGCTTTTGTTAAGAGACGTTCTCCACTGCTGGAATCTGAAATCTCTGCAGTCTCCACTGTACTGTTGACTTGAGTCTCACAACTTCATACATATCTTCCTTCCAGAGCCACACTGCCTGGCCTCCCAGGCCACCTTCTAAAAGCTGAGTGAAAGCAGCCTCCGTGACCTTACCACTCCTGCATTCTGCATGAGAAACCAGCACTGTGTGGATGACGCCAAGGTCTGCCGCCACGCTTGAACCATAGGTGGGCCCCCTCGGACCATGACTGCAGTGGCCTCCTAGTGCCAGGATGCTGAATAAAGTGACACAAATATCAGAGAGCCAATTTCCTTGGTGGCCTTCTCAGCAGTGGCTCAGAGGATCTCTTCTCAAGTGAAATATGTGCAGTTTACACCAGTGAGCCTGTAAAGGATAATTTTCCAGGTGCCATCTTTATTTACCATTGTCCTGAAGCAAAGTACTTCTTTGTAATGTGAATCTTTTCATCAACAATGCTTTCCTGTGGCCTAATTTCAGATACTTCTTTTCTGGCCAGGATTCATGTCATCCAGCTCTGTGTTTATTCCTGACTCCCACTATCAATCTGGATGTAAGCAGCCAGCAGTGCCCACTCCTGGACACTGTCCTGCCGTGAGAGGTCCTCTACTGGATTAAACTGCTGCTTTCAACGTCAATCTCTGCAAAGTCTCAGGACACGGGCAACATGTGTGCAATGTTCTTGCCAGAAAGAACCATGTGTGGCTCCTAGTCAGGTATCCAAAGTACAGTCCTCATTCCCATCTGAAATCTAATGAGTCTGGATCTTACTGTCTGTATTCCTATCAAAATTTTGGTCTTCTGGGCACCAACAAGAATCACCTATCAAGCTTGGCTTTCAGCATTCTAGGATTCTCTAGGCAGCATCTCCAAACCTTTCCAAACTCCCTGTTACAAATTAGTTCTAAAGATTGCTAAACCACATTGTCAGATATAGTCGCTCACAGTAGCAATTTTCTGTATTACTGCTGGGACAAAATACCCAAAATCTAATGCTTAAAGGAAGAGAGGTTTATTTTGGTTCACAGATATAGTGGGTTCAGTTCATCGTTGGTGGTTCCAAGGCAGAAATGGCATGAGAGAAGTGCCTGACAGAGAAAAGATATTCATGCCATGACAGCCAAGTGGAGAGAGAGAGAGAGAGAGAGAGAGAGAGAGAGAGAGAGAGAGAGAGCGCACACTCCCCCTGGGACACAATACGCACCCCCAGATCACACCCCCAGAGATCTACCTCTCCCAACCAGTCTCCATCTCTCAATGGCTCAGTCAACTGTGAGCTCGTGGTGGACTAATCCAGAGATGAGTATAGCACCCCCATGATCCAATCACCTTCCAAATTTATAACATTTTGGGCACATTTTAGATCTAAATCATAACATTTCCCATGCAAAAGAAAAGCTGCAAAATATCATTTTCCATCAGCAATATCCAGTACAATTAGAGCAGATTCTATTCTAGGATCTTTGTGTTTTGATCTGTTTTTAAAAAGAACGATTTTAGGACCCTGATTCTATTTCTGTGGCCAGATTGATACAGTTGCACATTTATAAATCAGTCTTGGATAAATCATTAATAACTCTGTTCCTCTCTGCTTCTGAGGAAAAGGAAGCATCTAAGCTGTCCTACTGATGCCCAGGTTGAAAGTGAAATTCCAAAAAACTTAGAACTGAGAAGCATCCTCATCTGGATCTCTGACCTAAAGTCACACATTTTGTGGCGTATTTGCATAAAATTTGGTCTCAATTCTCTTGTTTTATTATAATGGAAAGAGTGTGAGCTTTTAAGTCAGGCATGCTCAGATTTAAAGGTGGATGCTCTGCATATATCATATATCATCTGCATATATCATCTCATCTAGAATTTTGAGCAATGTTCTTAACCTCAGAGAGCCTCACTTTTAATATCCGTAAAAGGAAAAATGTTAATTATGACCTGCAAGGCAGTTATAAAAAGCGATGTCCAGATTTAACAGTGTATTGTGTACAGTTAGAGAAACAAAGCGAGTCTATAATTAGGAGGGATGATGAAGGAAGGGGCTAGAGTCTGGTTTACTGAAGTTCATGTTTTATAAAAAATGGATTTACTTGAAATATGATCATGTATTTTCATTGAATTCCTTTGTGTCTTAATCACCACATTCTCTATCCTGAGACCCATGCCGCAGAGAGGAAGCTCACAGGTGCACGGTTGGCTGGATCTGTGGCAGGAACTGCTCAGGGAAGGGTCTGGCGGAGGAGAGCTGCTCACATCATGATGGCCAGGAAGCGGAGAGCGAGGAGAGGAGCCCTTCCACGTCACTGGCGGAGCGGCCCACCTCCAGCCAGCCCCCGCCTCCTAATAGCACCTTCGGCTACTGAACCGATCAGCAAATGAACTCACTGATGAGTATAGCACCCCCATGACCCAATCACCTTGCAAAAGCCCCACGAGTACCATTAGAAACGAGAGCGCCATTTAATTCTACATTGCAGCCTGTAGTATCCCAGCTTCCATTGCCCTAAGAGAAGCAGACAACAAAATACAAAAGCTCAAGAGGTCGTGATGCTCTAGATGAGAGCACATGCATGGTGATCTCCTAGCTTGATCTTTTGGTCCCTGTACCCCCTCATTACATCCCTGTACCCCATATCATTACAGGTTCATCAATATGCTACATGTCATAAATATTATTATGGTCACAGTGAATTATGGGATGAACGAGTATGTTGACAGCCCCTAGAGATTCAACAGGAGGCACTAAAGCAGAGGCATCTGGCCTCTAATCCTGAAAGCATGATTTATCGGTCCCCTTTTTGCCGCTGTCACTGTGTTCGTGTCGAGTGCTTTTCGGTCACCCCAGCACCTTTCTCTGTCTGTGCCCTGTCTTACGTTGGCGCAGACTTGCTCTGAGCATGATGTTCTGTGATTTTCAAAAAACATAGCTGCTTCCTACTTACTGCTCGGTACACATTTGGCAATTCTTTCTTCACACACAAGAACCTGGACTATTGGCCCATTCCCCTGTAACACCACCTCTGAAGGCATGAGGCTTTGAGGGAACATTCTGGATCTAAACCATAATAGTAATTAATAATAGTCCTTCATATTAGAGAACGTACGAATTTATATTTTATAGTGCATTTTCATTTACATTTAATGACAGCTAAAACCACAGCAGAGAACCATATTTCACCTATTCAATTATTGATTCTTTAGAAAGAGAAAACAAGACTTGATTTTATTAGTCTGCTGATATTAGTTTCTCTTCTAAAGAAGTCATCCCTAAAATAAGCACGTGCCACACACCCCAGCACTGCTCTGCCAGTTATTTTTAGTGCAGACTTTTCTATAGCAGTCCTTAGACAGATTTAAGGAAAACACATGCCTTAACATTGTAATAGATGTGACTCTCACATCAGTTGAATCACGTGTGTATCAATCTGAATGTAGCTAAAGAATTAGGACATTTGAAGCCTAACTGCTTCCTTTGGCAAATATTTAAAAAATCAACTTCAGAAAAATGATTATTGCAACTCTTCCAAAAGCCATTTAAATAAAGGAGGCAGACATCAATATTGATCCCGTAATCACAGTACTGACTGCAGTCACTCACAGACAGACAGATGAACTCCACCTTCTCCCCGCC